TTAAGTAACAGACTTTTATGAATACAGGTGTAGTTTTTATCTTATTTTCTTGGTTTTGATCGAATATGGCATTATTTTCGAAAATATTTCCTTAATTTAGAAAAAATAAATTTTAAAGTGAGCTCAAGTGGAATTTACTGAAGAGGGGCTTAATTCGCATGTGTAATTGTCTGGTGTTACGCCATTGGTATTACCCATTACAGATTCTTGGAACCTAACCAGATAATTGCAGTCGATGTTTACTGCCAGCAACTGGATGAGAGGCACATGCAGTTAAGCAAAATGCAACCAGTACTGTTTAGTAGACGAAGTCCAATTCTACTTGATAGCAATACACGGCTAGTTATTAATATTCTTTGGATGGGAACATAGATTCGTAAGGGCCACTACACGATAAAATACGTTGGCGCCGATGTCTTCAGAGAAAAAAGCCATGAATCCAACTGCTTGGTTTTAACATATACTAGATGATTCCACGTTTAAAACTGATTCTATACAATCTTTCTGTTGTGGAGTTATTTCGCAGTGAAGTCTTGTATTTGTACTAAGTCGGTCCTAAAATAGGTTCGACGTACAAAACGTTAGGAACTTGATATAATAGGCATTACGCAGAGTAATCTTGTGGTGGTCGCTGATACTTTCGTATTCGACTAACTGTCGTCCGTCATCGACTCACTGACCGACTGACTCGTTACTTTTACCATTCCTGCTTATTATAGATGGGAGAGTCTATCAACTATAGAATAGGTGTGTTCCACCATACTTTCTGTCCTTATATTCTCCTTCGATACAAGGCTCTATAAAATGTAAATAGTTTAATGTAAACATTTTATCAAGCAAACCCAACTACGAATCATAATTATACTAATTTGTAGATACGTTCTGTATATAACGCAATTATTTTTTTAGACTAAAAGGGAAAAGCTGGAAGTGTACAGCATTACTGGAAGTTTGCATTTAACGTCAACTTATTCAATGTTCCGGGTATGTCATATATAACAAGATAGGGAGATACATAAAATCTTGCGAGGTCAAATTTGTTATCAACCATGAAATATTGCCTCGCAGGCATTATGATATTTTATTAAACTGCGAAATAAAATGTGGTAGCAAGTGAAAAAGATAAAGGAAGCTGAAACGGACTGAGGCATAGATGGAAATGAGTATACACATAAACACGTTGACATCAATATTTACATAGGTTTATAGACATATTGATTGGTATAATCACATCTTTACGCAAAAACTTTTTTGTTATATTAGAACGCTAATAAAGTTATAGAAACATTCACACACTCAATGTACACGAATATACCAGTACAGAATATGATGAAAGTAGTATATACGTATACATAGGTATGAAGGTATATAAAAATGCACAAGAATATATATATATATATATATTTGTATGCATACTCACAAACGTACATACACAAATATATATTTTAAGACATTTTTATGTTTATACATTCTTTTTATAGATACAAATATTTAAGTAAATGCTGTGTTTATAATAAACAACATTTATTGACCTAGATGTCCGAGAAATCTTCATAGAAATTATTCGTCCTGCAACAGGAATCGAACCTGTATCTTATACGGAACCGTTATCTAGCCTGACATGCATTTAACCGATTTGGCCACAGAGGAGCGTTCGGTTTGCGGGGTCGATTTTACTCTCTTTAAACTACAATCTTCCATGAATCTCTCACGTACATTCATATCTGCTCATGGCGTATCCAAATGTAAACAAATAACATCACACATTATGAAATGGACAAAGTCAGACAATTATTTTAAGACATTTTTATGTTTATTATAAACAGAGAATTTACTTAAATATTTGTATCAATAAAAAGAATGTACAAACATAAAAATGTCTTAAAATAATGTCGGACTGTGTCCATTTTGTCAACTGATTTTTAATAGAATCCTCTCGTAATTACGGACACTGTTCTTAGTATACTTCTTAAAAAAAGAAAGAAAATTGCCATGTTGATGCATATTCATTTTATTTCGAGAAAATTTCGACATTAGCAAGATGTCGTCATCAGAATAGCGTTTTTCACTTCACACGTAAAAATGTAATTTACAGATGAACGCAATAGTGTTGTCTTAGAAAAATGTTAAACTTTTTGGGATTTAGAAAAAGCAAGAAAATGCATAAACATGGTAATTTTCTTTCTTCTTTTAATAAGGATACTAAGAAACTTGTTTGAAATTACAAGAAGATCGTATTACAAATAAGTAGACAAAAATTGTCTAAATTATTTAATGAGACATGTCTTAATGAAAAAATGCTGCCAAAATATTGCACTATATATATATATATATATATATATATATATATATATATACATGCACACACATATGTAGAATAATGGACTCTCCCGTCGGTTTCAACGTATGAAGATTTGACAACTTAGTTGATTCAGTTATGAAATTGTGTGCGATAATCTGAAGTGGCATTTAAGACCCGCTAGTGATTTACAAAGGAGGACACATATGGAGCAAGAGTGAGGATTGTGAGATGAGATCACTGTTAGATTGGCTTTTAGATCTTGCTCTAGCTTCTTGAATATGATTCATACAAGAAATATATATATATATATATATATATATATATATATATATATATATATTCCATGTTGGGCAGTTCCTTTTGCCAACAAGCATGAAATCTCTCTTTTTGCAATTCACGTTTAGCCCTATCATCTTGCTTTCCTTCGCTACCTTCCGTAGGAGTTCTTCTAGTTTATTTTCTGTGTTAGCTCTCAATACTGTGTCATCTGCGTATCTTATATTCTTGAAGGAGAATGAATAAAAGAACGATTCTCAGGATATCAGAAGGTCGCGATTGACTTTGCATATGTATAAATTTTAATATATATATATATATATTAAAAATTATATTCTTGAAGAAGAAAGGACAATAAAAGAACGTATTTCAGTAAGACAGAAGTTAGCGATTGACTTTGCATCTGTATATTTTTTAAACTGAATTCAAGACTGTGGAAAATGCAAGAGGGATTTTTTTTCGTAAAAATTTTAATAATGAAGTTAATGATAATAAATAAACGGAAATTGTAGCTAAACATTATTGCTTTCATCTTACATGGACGCAGTTAACAGAGGGAGGAAAATTGTTTTTAATATGAAAATAGATTTAAAAAAAAGGCAAGAACTAAAATGTGTCAACAATGAACAAGCAATAACAAATAGACGGATATGAAAAATCAACTCACACACACTGATAACTTTATACACACACACGCCCCCCACACATGTCCGGAAGGACGTTTTTATATAGAAAAATAGACACGGAACAGAATAAAATTATTATATATATATATATATATATATATATATATATATATATATATATATATATATATATATCCTTGTTCTCATATATCTATATCGTTGGGTGCATAATCCGGAGTTCCTTAGACAGTGCCCCATACATAAGTAGAGCATTATTATAATAATATTTTTTGTTTAAAAATATGATTCCTTTGATACATAAGAGTTCTCATGTTTCAAAAACGAGAGCCGAAATCATCCGAATAATTATTAAAATTAAGTTGAATTGAGGTGTTTAGTCTCGTTTAGTCTTCAAGCGAAATTTTAGGAATAAGCTATCTTTTGGTTTACGTATGTTTTTAGGCATGGTCCGTAATAACATTCATTTTTGTGGTGGTGTCTATGCTAGTTTTCTCCGTTAAGTGGTCAGAGAGTTAATTCTTATCTATAGATTCATCATCTTCTAAGAGGTTTTGCTAAGGTTGGGTAGGGTATCTATTTCAAGGCTAATGTTTGCGGTCATCCTTTAGTTGGTTCCCAGTAAGGGATAATTTTATGGCGCGCCTACAAGTCGTTATGTGTCGGGAGGATTGTGCTTTATTATTGTTCATCTGATTATCTATTTATTTATTTTTTTATTCAAGTGGGTGTTTTATATACAAACCGTATTGCACTGAATTTCAATTTGTTTTTTGTTTTGTTTTGTTTTTTGACGACTGCAGAAAGGGTTTTTCCTATTTAATGATTTGGCTAAGCTTTTAAGACTTTTATTAAGCTATGGGATTTTTTTTTTTATTTATGCTAATTATTTAATGCGAAAATTTGTTGATGTCGGCAAAAAACCGTTAACTCCTGCCTATGGTTTAAAAAAAACTACACATCATTAAATTTCTAAATAATGAAAAAAATTTATATAATATATATATATATATATATATATATATATATATATATATATATATACTCCTTCTTCTGTTCTGTGTCCATTCATCTACTTTTCTACTGTTCCGTGTCCATTCTTTTTTTTCTTTTTCTTCTTATTATCATTATTATATTATTATTATGATTATTATTATTATTCACCTTCTCCTCCTCCTCCTCCTCCTTCTATATGGTGCGTCCCTTCAGGGCATAAGCGATCATGATTCTCCATAACCTCCACTTTCCTGTGGCTCTTGGCAGTCTTTCTCGTTCTACCAAGCCCGCCCCCCGTTCCGAAATCAATTCACACAAGTTCGTCAGTTAAGTGGCTCGCTGTCTTCCCTCATTCCTCTTGCCCTCAGTATGCTCTGTGAGAATGAAGTTTTCCAAACTTCTCTTTCGACATTATGTGTATCTTCTTGTTTCTGAATATGAGTGTTCTTTGTGTGACTATTTTGTTTAAAATTCTAGCCACGCCCATGTATTATTGATATACATATAAGGATATGGAGAACAGAATGACAAAAATGGAAAACTCAGTAACGTGTTTAGGTTTGTGAATGAACATTTTCTGGCGTTTTCTGTATATTGAAGTCTTTGAACAAACTTACAAAGTTAGGGTCGCAGAAGACCGACAAAAATATAATATTTATATTATATTACATTCGGACAGTTGTGCTTTTTTTTCTTGTGATTAACTCTTAGTCAAAGATAATTCAGACAGAAAAGTATATATATATATATATATATATATATATATATACACATTTATGAACAGACTCAGATAGATAGATAGATAGATAGAAGTTGAGAGATTTATGAACAGACTCAGAGAGATAGATAGATAGATAGATAGATAGATAGATAGATAGATATGAAAAGAGAGCGAGATGATTTGACAGAGATTTTTCGACGCTGATAGATTGATATAGATATTAATAGAGTTAGATAGATAGATACGAATATACTGTGATAGATACTAACATATATATATATATATATATATATATATATATATATATATATATATATGATCAAAGGATTAAATATAGATAGATAGATAGATAGATAGATAGATAGATAGATAGATAGATAGATAGATGTCGGGATTGAGAGCGTGAGGATAAGTTGTAAGCCACGAAAATAGATAAATCCACAGATATCTAATTATCGATGCACTCAACTAAAAATGACGTTCACAAACCATAATATTGACGAACAGCTAACAACATTTTAGTTGGTACACTGATTTTGTTTTTCTTTTCTTTCTTTCTTTTTTTTTTGTTTTCTTTCCTGGCCAAAAAGCGACGAAGTGAAATTTACTAATAATAAAATCAGGCTCAAAGGCTCCAGAACATAAAAGAAAGCCAACCACTCGCTTATGATTTAATGATTACCCGGCGAAAATAGAAGGTTTCTTTAAAAGACTGGGTAGTATTCTGGCAATAGAGAAAAATCACATGCACAGGATTCAATGAAGAGCGAATATGAACGTACACGTCTTTCTTTTTAAAATCAATCCACACTAAGCAAGGCGATAAAGCCACTACGACGGAAAAGGCTATTGATAGTGAAAGAGAATTTAGAATGAACCAGAAACCCAACAGTCAACAGGAAATAAAAAAACGATAAACCTTTACTCCTAATCAAAAGATGGGGAGGAGTGTGAACGGGGCACTATCTTGTTTCTTGGTTGTTTTTTATCATGATTATAATGTGGACTCTGACCAACAATTGGTTATATATATATATATATATATATATATATAAAAGACATTTTTGGTTATATATATATATATATATATATATATATATATATAAAGACATTTTTGTTTCTTTTTATAGATACAAGTATTTCAAGTAAATGTTATTTTATAATAAACAGTATTAAATAACATTTACCGGCCTGAATGTCCGAGAAATTTTCATAGAAAATATTCATATAGGATGCAGGTTCGAATCCTCAAAGCGACGAATATTTTCTATGAAAATTTCTCGAACATTCAGGCCGGTAAATGTTATTTAATACTGTTTATTATAAACAGAGCATTTACTTAAATACTTGTATCTATAAAAAGAATGTTAAACATAAAATGTCTTTTGATAAATTGTCGGACTTCGTCCATTTTATATATATATATATATATATATATATATATATATATATATATATATAATATCAATTTCGTAAGTGGTAGGGATTATTTCAAGGAGGTATTTTTAATGTAAAAATATTAAAAAGTCAAATCTGGATTCAGCTCGTTCAGTGAAAAAGTCAGACGAAAAATAAAAAAATAAAGAATTAAAGAGTTTTAAAGAATTAAAGAAAGAAAGAAACAAACAAAGAATGAAAGGAAAAAAAAACAAAGAAAGAAAACAAAAAAGAAGAAAGATGAATTCAAACAGAGCAAGAGGGAGTCAGAGAGACCGGGGGGACGTGTGTTCCCTTACTTTGAACGAATACTGGAGATTAAAAAAAGAGATTTATAACGAGAAGAGTAAGGATAAATAAAGGTATAAATAAAAAAAAATCCTTCTTTCTCACGTGTGAATTGGAATGGAGAAAGTTAACTTCCAAAAGCTAAGCAAAGTATTCAGAAAGTGGAACATTTCGTTAGAAACAGAAAACATACAGACGTGTGCATCACTCCCACACATATATATATATATATATATATATATATATATATATATATTATATATAAATCACTTGATTTCAAATATGGTTTTTTTTCGCTACACAGTTCCAACCATGTTTCAAAAATAGAACCTAAACACACCCCGAATTTAATTTTGCAATTAAATTAAAAGCATTAGTTCCATTTCATCTTCAAGCGAATTTTTGTTCAATTTAAGTAGAATATTCTGTAACCATGGAAACAGGATTTTAGCTGTGTCTTTAAAACCCGGTAATTTTTAAAAGTTACTCCAAAATTCGCTTGAAGATGAAATAGAACTAATGCTTTTAATTTAATTGCAAAATTAAATTCGGGGTGTTTAGCTTCTATTTTTGAAACATGGTTGGAACTGTGTAGCGAAAAAAACCATATTTTGAATCAATTAATTTATAATATTAATGCTCTGTAAATTTACATTGAGCACTATTTTGTAAAAATAAAAATATCTATAAGAACACCGGATTTTATATCTTACTGTTCTTTTTTTTTAAGCAATATATTATATATATATATATATATATATATATATATATATATATATATATATATATATATATATATATATATTTATCGTGATGAAATTAATCATAAACGGTAAAGCATGTTAATCATTAATTAATCATAGCTAAAGACCGGAAGCTCATGAAAGATTGTTGAAAATATATATATATGAAAATTTTCAGAGTTGTTTATAGAAAAGACAATATTTAAAAATATGAATGACAATAGGAAAACTGGAGCTATTTCATTAAACAAAGTAACTAATATTTACACAACAATATCGTAAAATGCAAAGAAAATGATTGAATCCGTCAACACAGCTAGAATGACAATATTCTCCACACGTGACAGTAACTGACATTATTTTCAGTTAACAATATGAAAATAGCGTTCTCTACATTCCTCCAGTTGCTAAGAACATTCTGTTTTTTGTTATTATTAGTTACATTGTTTAATTAAATTCATTTCGTTTTTTGCTTTGAGAAAGTCCACATTAGACGAAACGCGTCAGCAACTACTACATTTTTCTATTGTCATTTATATATTTATATATTTTCGAAACGAGTCTAGTTATTTATATATATATATATATATATATATATATATATATATATATATATATATATATAATCCTCTTCTTCGACGTATGAGTACCTTTCAGTTCAGATTTAATGTTTATGTTTCGTATGAGACAACAATCCTTCACGGATTTTACAAACAAGTCCACATGAAAGACATACTGAAGGGTTGAGCAACATATGGCCTGATGTATTAACCCGAGATTTAGTGTTAATTTAATTCTCTCAGATCGTTGAGACAATTCTTGTCAAAGCTAGTCATACCTCGGGGAGCAGTGTTTCTCTAGTTTGCTCGGTTTTCAATAGCGACCAATTATATCTCTCTCTCTCTCTCTCTCTCTCTCTACCTACTATATATATATATATATATATATATATATATATATATATATGTCATTACAAGATCATTTTCTAACTGATTCTTCACCTTCTCTAGCCTTGTAACTTTCTGTCCTGGAGTAACAAAATGCCTAACACGTTTCGCGTACGATTTCATTTTCAAGTCTTTTTTTCACTGTTCTTTGGACTCTCTCAGCTGAAATTCCTACATCACGTGTCAAACGTCTTATGAACCGAGTTGCATCTTTTCTAATTGCTCTCGTTAGCTCAAAATTGAAATGATGATCATGTTGTGACCTCCTAATCCAGTTTCCCTCTCTACTGTTCCTTCTTTGTTAAATTTGGTTCTTGAAAGGACTCTGAATATTGAAGCCAGGTATGAATGTTTGTACCATTACGGAAGACCTAAATGATCTTTTTTTACTATCACCGTTGCTAATTTTATAAGATCGTGTCGTTGACACAAAATGATTTTAACCTGTTCTCTTTTGATACTCAAAGGGTCTTTCACTGATTCTTGCGCAAAATGGTGTCAAGATAGGTAAACATCTTATATGAAAACTTGGAAAAAAAGAAACTCAGATTAGCGTTTTTTAGATATTAAACATTTGTAGGATGAACAATTATCGCATACTGTTACACGATTTAGACAATTTTGCTGTTACACCCGTTATGTGTGTTTATGTTTGTGTGTGTATGTTTGTGTGTGCATGTTTGTGTGTGTATGTGTGTGTGTATGTTTGTGTGTGTATGTTTGTGTGTGTATGTGTGTGTGTATGTTTGTGTGTGTATGTTTGTGTGTATGTGTGTGTGTGTATGTTTGTGTGTGTATGTGTGTGTGTATGTTTGTGTGTGTATGTTTGTGTGTGTATGTGTGTGTGTATGTTTGTGTGTGTATGTGTGTGTATGTTTGTGTGTGTATGTGTGCATGTGTGTATGTGTGTGTGTATGTTTGTGTGTGTATGTGTGTATGTTTGTGTGTATGTGTGTGTGTATGTTTGTGTGTGTGTGTGTGTGTGTATGTGTGTATGTTTGTGTGTGTGTGTGTGTATGTTTTGTGTGTATGTGTGTGTATGTTTGTGTGTGTATGTGTGTGTATGTGTGTGTGTATGTTTGTGTGTTTATGTGTGTGTGTATGCTTGTGTGTGTATGTGTGTGTATGTGTGTATGTGTGTGTGTATGTTTGTGTGTGTATGTGTGTGTATGTGTGTGTGTGTGTGTATGTTTGTGTGTGTATTTAGGGAGCAATTACTTTTACATACAAGTTTCTTTAAAAACGACTGATAAGTTATTTCGGTTTAGGTTTTTTATTTAATTTTTCTTTGATCGGAACGAATATTTTTTTTTTCTTTTCTGGGAAAGGTACGAATCGATCTTTTCAGCTATTTATAAAATAGCAGAACAAACTGTGTTCCATAGCCTTGGATCGTAACCAGTCTAGGAGAAGTTACTCTGAATTCAAACTACAAAGGTTATAGGAAAATAACTTAATAAAAAATTCCAGCTCTAAAAGGAGGGAGAAGTTAAACTCAACATCCCGTGTGCAAATGTGTACTGGTCGATGGTCAACATCATGGTCACACATGAGCACTGCGGCGGCCATACCTAGGTCAATCGGGATCGATCTGTCAGCTACACTTTATAAGGGTAGTCAGAGTGTTTCACGGACCGACCGGTAAACCGTTCATTGCTGTCAGATTCTCAGCCTCGGCGGACAGGAACCCGGACGAGCCTTTGCCGAAGGGCAGAGTTTCGTCTGGGTAGGTAGACAGGCCTTGAAACTGATTATATGTGTTCAAAGGGAACATTATTCGGACTATTGTCTTCATCATTGTCGCCATATTTATTACAACGTCTCAGCCGTTGTACGGTCCGGCCTTCTTCGAATGTCGAACTGCCTTAACCAGGTATTGAACTCACACTTTTTGGATCTAGTCACTGGATCTAACCAACGCCTTTATCCATTATGCCATGTGTCCTTGAGGGAAATTAACAGGAGATAACTGATAACTGACATCCATCAAACATGGCACTTGAAACTAGAACAGTCTACCCCAGTGAGCGAAATAAAGGGTTCATTTCGACAT